CTATGCTGTCGTTTATCCCCCAAATGGTAGGTGTAACTTCAGAAAAATGCTGCAAGGCTCAAAGAGAAAGAGCTACAATCTTACAAAATTAAGTTAACGTATCGAGTTGATAGTGAAGATTTGCTACAGGCATCCTTTTTAGACAGGGAGTGGTGTCCTGTGCGAACGTCTGCGTGTGAGCTCGAATACTTTTTTGTTACTGTGTTAAGGAGCTAGACCGTTTCACTGATTTTTTGTTATATTTCATGTTTTCTCGTTGCAAAATGGAAATATTCTTCATAACGCCACATGACTACACTACAAGTACCACGTTTTTCATTACCTTCTTGTTTCTCTATCAACAGGTATCATACCCTTCCACGGCTTTTCTATGTATGGTGAGCTCATTACTTCTTTTTTCTTAACGAAAAAAAAACCTAAAACTTCGAAGAAAAATTCAAAACTTATCCCGCTTTCCGTTGCACGAAGCGATTTGGAGCATTGCTATTCTACCTAGATCTATGACGATTCGTCGATAATCATTCATACTCCTGGATGGAGAGAGTCTCGGTGAGAGTAAACTGGCTTACCCAACAACGCAACACAACGACCTGGCCATGGCTCAAACCCAGGCCTTTTGATATAAAGGTCATCGCGCTAATAGGGCCGCTGACCAGAGAGTCGCTGCGTCTATCACTTCCAGTGATCCGTATGGAAAGCACTAAGTAACATTGCTTCAAACCGCGTGAGCCCCCTATGTTCCTATTCCTAACCCTAACCGCCGGAATATCGCGGGTTCACATGGTTTGTAGCAATGTTGCGTAGTGCTTTCCAATCCATTCGAACAAAAATGAAGCTTTTTTTTCTCAAACCTTAATCGTTGGTACGTGAAATTAAACGATTTATTTCCTGGCACCGTTGACCTGCTCTTTATTTTATTTCATAGCGTCTCCTTTAGGTTATATTTGCGCCGAAGCTCCACAACTTTACTTTCTCTTTCGACGAATTTACACCAGGTGAGAGTTGAGTTTATCTCGATGGAGGACCTGTGGGCATGTTTTGATTTAGATTTGGAATTTTATGGCACCTGTTTGAAAATCATAGTTTTTTTTTGTACTTGAGATGAAATTTCCCTTGTGCGAACTTAATGTTAATAGTTTCGTACAAGTTTTACCGAAACGTTTTTTAATTTTTTTGTAGATACTTTTTTCGTCTTCACGGCATGTCCTCGCACCCTCAGGTAATGTAGTGTGTGTAATCTGTTACAATCGATGTAATAAAGCAACTATGTGGTGCTGTAGCACTAACTGCATAGTCATTAGTTATCAGAGGTATACCGTGGGGCATATGAAATCAATGCTCTTCTTGAAGGACAGCATACGTGGCTAATTTGCGCGGGAAATACTGATCTGAAGTTTTGACATACGCAACCCTTCTTGATGTGAAATATAGCTATATCAATTACGTAGTTCGCAATTGTGGATTTTAACCTCTTCTTTTATTATTTTACAGGGAATTATGTCACTGTGTGTGTTGTTCGAAAATCTTCTTCAAACTCACGAGCCTGCCCTGTTTTACCATTTAAAAGAAGTTGGTGCTCACCCGTAAGTACGGAGCCATGTCAGGTTTTCTTATCTTTTTTTTCTTTTTAATAAGGCACCGGAATAGTTGTGATTTTCAGTCTCTGTTTGGTTTGTTTCAGGCTCCGTTTAGTCTTTAACTGGTTAATATACGCATTTGCTGGTTATTTGGAGACAGAGCAGGTACAAAATGGAAACAATCATTTTTATCTGTTATCGTAGTAGTGATTGTTGTTTTTGTTGTTTTTATTTTTGTTCCTGTTGTTGTTCTTTACGTTGTAGTTGTTGACTGTTTTCTTGTCGTTGATGTTGTTGTTTTTGTTTTATTTTTTCGTGGTGGTTATCAGTGATGTCAATGATGTCCTCAAACTCCTAGCATCTAATTTCTCCATGCAATATCACCCCTGGATCAAACGTTAAGGTTGCGACAATGAAAAAAAGAAGCTCTTGATTATTAAACAAATTCTACTTTTCGTCAGCACCGTTTCATGATGTTTTGATGTGATTATGTTACACAGCAACATTAGCTGTCGAGCTTCTACCCCGTTATCATATTGCTATCTTCAGTACAACTATGTCTTATAAAGATTCAAAGTTTTAAACCTAACGCTAAATTAGCTCAGGAATTTTGGCTTTTCTGCACAATTTGAATGCATTTGACATCACTTTTGTTACATTTTTGTGCTGGAATTCAAATTGTGACCGTCAATAAACAAGTGGTTCATCTGTGGTCTTGTCAACAGCTGCTCCTTTTGTGGGACAGGATATTTGCTTACGACTCAATGGAGTTATTAGCAGGTATGGCGACTTCTTAAAACACAGTATAGCACTGCTGTAGTTTAGTTACTAAAGAGGAATTGTGAGCCTCAAGAATCCTATAGATTAAAACAATTAAGTGAATGGCGGCGGACATGAAAATGCTTTAGCACGACTAAAAGTCAGTTTAGCCCGAGCCGCTGGGCGAGGATTAAAATGACTCTGAGAAGGGCCCAAACATATTTATGCCCAATGACATGAATTATATTACTATTATTGACATTTTTGAGGGAATTAAGAAAATACACTGAAAAAATGACAACTAAACATTCTGAACTATCACGCGAGCGCTTGCGGGCTTAAAGCCAAAATCTCCTCCATTTTAGCCCCCAAAGTGCGCCACAACCCCCGGAAAAGTGATGATAATTGTGGCTGAGACGGCCCATGGTGTGAAACGCTTAGAAGTGGGGGAGGTGGAAGGCTATTTGTGATAGGCGTAGATGAGCAGTACTCCATGTCCTTTCATGCTTCAGAGATCGGGATACACAACGGCGTGAATGAGCCACTATTCCCGTTTAAGCTGACAAACGCAGAAACGACAGACCACGTTTAAAACCTTTTCGCAAGTTGTGGGAGAAATTACTGGGAACCTCTAAATCTTTGTTTGATTTCCTTTCAGTTCTCGCCATGGCAGTCCTGTCCTATCGTCGCGCAAATCTCTTGGAAGTCACCAGCCTACAGGCAGCTCAGGTTTGTATGCTCATATTGTGAACTCTCTCTACTAAAGGACTTACATCTCGTTGATATGAGAATTTTAAAGTACGACGCGTTTTCAATACTTCTGTAAAGAAATTTTGTGATAACAGATTTGTTCATCGGCGAAGGTAGGGCACACGGAAATCTGGAACATAAGATAGCGGAGGGAAAATAGAGTTGGGAAGGCAAGAGATCACAGAGTAGAAGTGAAATTGCTCCCAAGATCTGTTTGTTAATTCTCTCCTCTAGATGGCACACATTTCCCTCTAAATTAGCTACGAGAATTTGGTGTTGGATCAAGATAGCAAAATCTACTTGATACGTTTGAGCATTCTCATTATCTGTTTACTGGATAATGTATGGATATTGTAGGGAGAAGATACATGTTTATCATTTTTGGGAGCTTAGGGTTATTCTTCACTCATTCCAGCACTCAAACTGGAACTTCAGTAACGTTTGAAACTGTTCGTAAACGAGTGACAATTTTTATTAACGGTGTGGACTATTAATAGTTGTATAAGGTGGTTTAATGATGATGCATTTTGTATTTATTCTTTCTTCGTTTCTCGTTACAGACGGTGCTAGCTGATATTTCCACGTTAAACTCCATTGCTTTACTGCAATACGTGTTATTTCTTAAATAATAACTCAATATTGCTCCTTGACTATCGAGATTATAGACAATGCGGAAGCTTGTAAACCTAGATGGTAAACCGCTTGTTGTCCGTAGCGTGCCGCCTTCTCAGAACTGGTCCTTTCCTAACAACCTAGGAAACCTCGCCCGTCGTGTTACTGTTAATCTTTGCTGGGAAACTCTTCCCACCGCCTCACCAGCTTGTAGTCTTTTCCCACCAAAAATTGCCCCATCCGTCACAGTTCTGATCAGGCCTATCTCTGAGTCCCAGGACTCCTCCTGTTTTGAGAGAAGTTCAGAGATCTTCTGGGCTCTTGTAAATGACGTTTAAAGTGTAGAAGCGAGTGAACTACGTTGCATCATCATCCAAGTAGGACCTCTTGAACGTTCTACATTCCTTTCTAGCTTATGACGATGACGTTTCTTTCCATATTTCATAATACATTGTATATAAACAAGGGAAATACTATTTTCTCTTTATATAAATTATTGTTGATAATGCAGTTCAAGAAGAAAACAACTCGAACTCGTTCGTAAAAGTACTTTTTAAACTGTACATTACAACCCTTTGTAAATTGAATGTGTATTTATATCTTCGTTTCATTGATTGAAACGTATAATGAACCTTTATTTTCGCGATATTAAAGGGTCTCTTTTTTATCTTCCTACTGCTTTTAAGACGAAAACTGACGGCCACGTAAATGGGAAGTTCATTTATAAATTTATCTGTGCAAGATAAATTAATCATTTCCTAACCACAAACTAAGAGCACTTTTTAGCATACTCTTCCTGTTAAAATTTACATGTCCAGGTGAATGCTAGAATATAATTGAACTTTTACCACGAACGCTCTAATAAGCTCTTAAGGGACATGGTTAGCTATAGAGCATCTAGACTGGGGAGCTGATAGTGTAGGCGCTTATTAAAAAGGGGACGGGAAAGATTTATTAGAGCGTTCTTGGTAAATCTTCTGGGGAGATAAAATGTGCGAAGGGTTCCTTAAAAAAAAAAGGATTGATTGAAAATTCATTTCTTCTTTAATGAAAGCCTCGCGTTACTTGATTAGGATTTTTTTAAACACATTGTTTACACGGCGCGAGTGTTTTTGTTCCTTAGGTAAATCAAAAACAAAGAGTTAATCCAGGTTCTGTTTCAACTGTTTGTTTCTCTTGTAAAAGGTTGAGGGGTCAATATTGTATTTCAATACTTGACAACCAATTCTGTGCGGGCATAGATACTGAACGCATAGCAACACAATTTCAGATTTTTCGTCGTGCGCCTCAGACTTCTGTATTTCCAGCAAAAGAGCAATTCTTTTCATCACAAACGCGTTGAATTCTTGGTAGAAGGAGGTATTATTTTACCACCTAGAGGATCTTTGGATCGTCAACATTTTGAGCTGCAAAGAATCACAAAGCGCGAGGAATTAGCATTCCTATCGATTGAATCATTTGGTTGAGTCTGGCGTGTTTCTATTCCTGCTAACGCCGCTATGAGTAGTGTGACGACACCAGGCGCGGGTAAGTTCAGTGTTGTTGGATAGTAACTTCGCCTATTATTTTCACGGACCCAAAAAATGAGGGAATCACCAAACGAGTGAAATCTTGCCCGAGCGTGAAAGAGATGACCGTCAACAGATTAATTTTTAAGTCAGGCCATTTCTCTGAGTGGAATTAACATGTTTTCATATTTTACTTGCCACCAATTTGTTCGAAAGAAAGGAAATTTGTATTTAAGTGCTAAGATGTAACTTGCTTTGGTTTCCAAAGAGTTAATTTGTTATTTCGCATTAATCAAGTATGACACGATGTAAACAGTCAACCAAAATTTCTATTTAACCCTTTGCACTCTAGCATAAGTATTTATATTCTCCCAACTTTTCTCCATATTTCCTTTGGTACTGACAAGAAGAATTTGAGTGAAAATCAGGGGCTTCTTGAATCGGTGACTAATTCTTTTATCTTCATGCCCTTTACATTTGATTAGGGTGATAATTTAAAGAGAAAGAGAAGTCAGTCACTCTTAAGAGTTAAGGTTTAATTCTAATTTTCTAAGCAATGCAAATTTGCCCATCGAATCTAAAAGCCGTCAAGATTGAGCAATTTTATTCAGTACAATCACACCAAAGAGATCCAGTTCACACTCATGTAAAGGAATTGTAATACTTTGTTGTCTATATGCATTATAGAATCATCATTTGAAAGTTCCAAGGACAGCTCACGTTCTCTTCCATCCGCCTTTTTATCAACATACAACAGGGAATATAAAGGTTCTTTTGGTCCACCAGCGCCAGATGCAAGGTAAAATTTTCCTGATGGCGGCATGCACAACACAGATCGTTTGGTTATAAATCACTTAACTAGCAGCCCATAGGCGTTTTGCACAAAACAAATTAAAGTCATAAGTGGCTTCTATTTATTCCCTCTTCAAAAGTAAACGAAAGGGAAAATGGAAATTTCTTTAAATTAACTTCTCCAGTTTCCTCTCTCTCGCCAAGTCTGACCTGGCGTAAGTAAATTAGTCTTGTTTGCATATTGTTTCGACAAATGAAAGTTACAGAAAATTCCTCTGGCTTTGATCTCTTAGTTATTAAGTTTCTGTTCTCATTTATTCTCCTCATCCATTTTAATTTTGAACCTTTTTATCAATGAAAATTCTTTTCTCACAACTTTTTAGAGTGCGAACTTCGCGTTTCTACCCTCCAGGACAACCATCAGTTGACTCCACGTATAGGACCGATTTCCTAAGTCACCAGGGAAAACCTACAATTAAAGTGCCTTATGGGACATCCTCTGGAGACAGGAGCAATAACCCTCACCCTCATAATATGGAGCAGGTGTTCGCACATCCGATTAAAGTAAGTAAAGTAAACTGAAAGCAAATTTGATAAATTATTCCCTGTGATTGGTCTCGCAAACTTACACTGTTCCCTCGAACAGTCAGATGCAAAAACCAAAACCTATCGCTACCAGGTCACTCTCTTTTTCCCTTGATAGAGGACGGTTGTATGGGTAAACTAAGAATTATCATGCATTCCAAATAAATCTTTGACTTGTTTATTCAAAGGAATTTTGTGTTCAGCTTGTCTCACTTCTATTCTACAGCATTAAAAAACATAAATGAATAAAAGAGATTAAAGTTTAAGATATTAAAATGACTTCGTACGTTCTCTTCAATTTCAAAGGATTATTTCGTGTGGTCCCATTACCGAAAGCTTCCCCCAGTTAATTCTAAAGGGACAGAATCCTCCACTAGCTCTGAGCTCCTTAAAAAAGTGTGCCAGGACAAGACTCGGTCGACTTATCAACAGGATTATGTCCCTCATATTCAAGGTAGGGTGAAGTTCCTTTAAAGTGTTGTGAGTACGATCAAAAGGAACCAATCGAACGTTTTTCTCTGAGCAGTGACAGACACCATTTCGCTTTACAGTTCAAATATTTTTTTAATCAAATTCATTTATTTGTCTATTTTTTTTTTAATTTTTAGATCTTCCCTCTACAAACAATGGCGCTGAAGGCCAAGGATTAAATCAAGAGAGATAACACGCTGAATAGCTTTGATCGCCATGAAATGAAGAAATATTCCTTTGAAAATGCAAATATTATGGTAAAAGAGAATTATGTAACTTTAATAAAAGAAAAAAATTGACATGCCTTTGTCCTTTCCTTCTCAATTTTGCTAAAACTCCGTTAAGTCAACGGAGTTTCAGTAAAACTGTGACTAACACGTCTTTCTGTAATCAGAATGCCCGACTCAACTGTGTACCGAAACAAAAGAAACACTAACGTGCATTTGAAACGGTTCTTTTACAGGCAACACACCATACTTATATTTTGGTAAACAGTTGTATCAGACTCTTTTTTTTAACTCTTTTTCGTTTTGCCAACAAATACATCTTTTTATACACCATTAAACACGATATTGGTAGTTTTCAATGCGTTCAAGCCGGAGCCTTGACATGTTGTACCGTAGATTCCAATTGGTGATCAAAACACAAATTGCACAGGGTCATGACTCACCTTTCATGCTGAGTCGTTGTTCAAAAAGGATCATTTTCAGTAACAGCTTTGTTATGAATTACATTTGAGTATGAATCATCATATGTTGAATTTGTTCAAGTCTTTAAACAATGACGTAAAACAGAGCTGTCAAGGACGATAATAGAGCCTTTTGTCTCTTCAGTTGAATATGAAATAAAGCAAACGAACTTACAAATATTTGTGGTTGTTTGTTTGACTGTTTTCTCTTGGGAATTTGTAAAAATGGGGTCTTACAAACTAATTAAGTGAGTGTTATTACTCTGAAAGTAAATACGGCGATATCTGATACCGCTTGATGCGCTTATAACTCAAGTTTATGTAGATAACACATAATTACATTTTTGTATAAGGAACTGATAGTCGCACAAAAAAGATAATTCAAACATTGTGATAGCTTTGTTGATGATCTTCTGATTAACTGTTTGATTTCGTGGCAGCCAGCACACTCTTGAAACAATGAATGGTCATCTTTGTGGAGCTGTGCAGCCAATCACAGTTATGCAGTTATCAGGGGAATACATTCAGTTGTGGAAACCGTGGAAACACATCATTGCTAAACTGCAATTTTGCGCTTGAAAACATTTTCCATTTGAATCTTTCTTTCATGGTAAGTTATGGGAAGTTGTTCGTTCTTCTTTTTCAAGAGATCTGACTTCCAAATAGTAGCCTTTATCATGGTGCGATTCTGTTGAAATTGTTTGATTTATATAACCACGTCTATTAAACAAAAGAAGAAGTAGTGTACATTATAGTTAAGTTTCTCTAAACACTGCATTAGTACTGTTTTTCGCTTAGGAGTTTTCTGTTTATTGTTTTCATGACAGATTGAATCACTCGTGTACTTGAAACGAGGATTTCATCGCAAAAACAGTTTTTTTTTTCAATGCTTTACACGCAGAGGTCACTAAAGTGGTCGAAAAGTATGCATGAGGAATCATAACATTTTATGCAATAACTTTAGACGCCAAACGAACATCTTTTATATTTTTTATGGCAGATCCGTTTTTCTTAGTAATTAGTCAGCCAGTACAGATGAGACTAATTAATTAAATGTTTACTGACTAATTTTTCATGTAGGAACGACGAAGATCGTCATGAGAAGTAGTTAAATTTTTGACAAACTGATTTGGGTTGGCTTGCATTCAGTTGTCAATTGCCATGCCATACCAAGGCGGGAGATATCTACCTCCCATAGGTAAATAAATCTTATTATTTACTTACTTTTGTTCGTTGTTTTTGGAGATGTGTCGTAGGTAAAGATACTCGCGAAGGGTTACTTTGCAGGCAACATTTTGATCATGCTTTTCCAGACTGGTGCATGAAAGAAGTGCAATGAAAGCTCGATAAATCTTTCTGTGAATCTTCAGTAACAACTACGAACATTTAAACATTTGGGTAGAGCATTTGTTTCATCTCTCTCTCCTTCTTTCTCTGTGTCTCTTAGCCCTACTTTTCTGTATCTTATCATTTTTTAGCAACTCCAATTCAGACAACATATCAGAAGGACTACGTCAGTCAGTCAGTGGAACCCCCAAAATCCTTTAAATTCAGATCTATCAGCAACTTACGTGAGTATAACCGGATACGCTTTATTTTTGAAAAAAACAATTTTTTATGAAGTTATTTTTTTGGAAGGAATAGTGAGATATAGTTGCAAAATTCAAACAAAAAGGCTACATCAGTCGTTTGTTATAAGATCTAGCAATATTACAGCTGCACCATTAACTTTTTACGAGCTCAACGGAAACTGTCAACGTTACTGAATTAAAATGTATTTATTTGTTTTTCAGCTCCGATTAACTATTCAAATTATCGTAATGTAAGCAAATCAACGAAGTACAGGGACGAGTACCAAGGAACTTTTGGGCCAGCAGCTCCGAGCGCCAAGTAATTTTCATAACAAATTTTATGGCATTCATCTTTATCTCTTAATCTCATTTACTTGGCTGTCGCTTTCTATTTGTCTGAAATGGCCGGTCAGTGCCTGAACCAACTGTTGTAAGATTATCAAACAAAGAATGAGTACTTGAATACTGATATGAATGCTCTGTTTTTCTTCTTCTTCTTCTTCGTTTGTCCTTTTCTAGTCTTTTATTTATTTATTTATTTTTTGTCTGTTGCCATTTTTTTGCAACATTTGAGAGATAATTTCTTATTCTCCATTTTGGCAAAAAAGTTGTGGTTTAAACATTCTGATTTTTTTTCTCTTCCCCAGGCCACCCCCATACGACTACCCTTCAGAGGACCCTATTGGGGTATCGACTTACAAAGCGAATTTTAGAGAGACTAACTTTCCAAGACAAGGTCCTCACCCCACTTCACCACTGCGGAAAAACAATCCACACCCAAAAACCATGACCAATGCGTTTAATTACCCGAACAGGGTAAGTTTTTCTTTAGGGGAAACGGAGGATTTCTTTTTCTTGGGGTGGGGAGAGGGGAATCACATGGTTTTCAGAGGGGAAGGATGGGGGGAACAGTCGAGGCCAACAGAGTAGAGGTGCAACTTTAGAAAATTGACTGCAAATTAACTGCCATTTAGGAGAGGGGGATCATTAGAACATTACCGAGATAATATAACCAGTTTATACTCTCTTGATATTACTTAGTTTTATGGGGGGATCAAGTAAATTTTATCCTGACCCAATCAAAATCTTCCGACCTGGCCTTCCCCCCCCCCCTCCCCCTCCTCCTAAACTAATATCTATCATACGATGTAAAGAGTAATGGGCTATCAAGGCTATTTCTTTTTTTTTTGGAGGGTTAAGAAGCTAGGTATTTCATTTTTCTACATCATATATCAGCAGGGTCAATGTAGGCCATATTTACCATATCTGGAGAACGTGAGGACACCCTTTGTTCACCAGACCGGTTAGGCCTATAACAACGCTGAAACCAACTTTCGTGGCCAGCTGCAAACATGATCGGTCACTTTCAACCTACTTTTTTAGCAGAGAGACGCCACTGACTGAATTAACCTAACTCTTTTTGTCTCCTATTCTGTCATCCCGAAATACAAAGCCCTCTTAATTGTGCCTTAAATTAAGTTATAGTTTTAATGAATTTTTTTCTGCTTTTCAGGGTTATTGGGTATGGCCACACAGACTGCAACCAATAAAATTTCAATAACTCTGACTGATGATCACAGCTAATAAAGTAACCTCAAGATGTGTTTTGAAGAGTTATGATTAGGGATGCGTCACTCCACCTTGGGTCATTTTAATTTAAGCGCCACAGAGAATTAACGAGTAAATAAGCCTTAAAATAATCATCCGTTTTCCAGGGTTGGTAGGCAAACGCTAAAAAATAAAAGGTAAACGTGAAAGAGGAAGTTGTGCTGGTTTTCATTTGCAGCAGCTCCTCGGAGTATCACGTTACACTCCCTCCTCATCCCCCTTGGGGAGCATTTGCGTGATACCCCTGAGAACAGCGATCTAGCGAACAGCTACGAAGGAGACTGAGGCGGTAAGGAATAAAGAAGGTTGACAGGGAAACCAACAAGGGTGTAACCAGAATTTTTCCTGGGGGGAGAGGAGGTTACAGTCACGAGTTTCCGTGCGTCTTACCGTAGTTCTGCCTTGTTTGTCAGCGAGCTTGTATTCAATCGGCAAGAGGGAAAAGCAAATGGAGAATTAAGCATTGGAAAAGATTCATGCCCTTTAGATTCTTCGGATTTGTGCGTTTTCGCAAACCTGAAGTATATTACTTGTTTGCCACTGACTTAACGAAATAACGAAAGAAATTTAAAGCAATTTTCTTTCAAGCTAAAAGCCCGCGACCAAGACTCTTTTAACTAAGTTATATCAGTCTCTTATAGTCGTATATCAATGATATCTAGAGCAAGGTAATCAAGTAGAATAAACTGGCGAGAGAAAACCGTTAAAGTTAACTTAACATCTTCTTAGAGGATCGTGAGCCGAGAGAGTTATCTAGAACTATTTCACCGCTTCTAAGCCACTAAGCACAAGTGTAGTATTTACAATAAATGCCAAAAAAAAGAGTCAATACTTGTATTATGACACTTATTGTGTATTTTTTATGCGCAAGAGATTTATTTCTTCTCGATATGCTATTGATTAAGAAACAGATCCGAACAAAAAGGGAAGCTTGAAATTATGAATAACACAGAGGCGAACAAGTCATTTTCGTTTCTAAGTTAAGGTTGTCAGAAAGGATGGTCACTATTGACACATTCTGTCCTAATTATGTATAAGTCAAACAATTAAAGAAAAGAGAATTCAGAGCTGTGCTTACTTATCTGTTGCCCAATATCAAAGTACCTGATGGTCCTATTACCCCTATGCGAATAGACTTGCTGTCAACAAAGGCAACTGGCCCTTGCGTTAGCAAGAGCACGGTTGAAAAGAAGTAATCAATTAAGTCAAATTATCGGAAAGGTAAGGAGGTTTCAAGTTTACTGACTTTTAAATGAGAGAATGGAATATGTTCTGAAACCACTGAAGCCTCTATAACCAATATTCTACAAATTTGGATTGCATTGTCTTACCGAAAACAATACCTTTACGTCTGGATGAAACTTTGCAATCTATAGAGTCATAAGGGAGCTTACTTTAAGGCTGGTACGGGTTCTTTGTGCAGATTAATTCTGAAAGGAATGGAATTTTTCGTCCACCGTCGGTGGTTTGGTTATTATGACCTTCAATTACCTCCTATGACCTTAGGACAAGCAGCGGCTCCATTCCAGTCTCCCAGCGGATCCATTCATCTACTTTGATCGTCATCCTCAACCATGGCCAGGATCAGGAGCTGGTACCGACCGAAGCGTGAACTGAGTCGCTTGTTACCTGATACTTCTAAGATGGCTTTCATTCAATATATAACATTTTTCACTAATTCATTCCTACGCTCGACCTTGCATTAGGTTAATTAAGCCGTGTATGTTATGTGACGAAGCGTAAATGAAGAAGAAAAGGTGCCGCAAATATGTTCTAATCCTTGAATAATCTGATCAGGCATTGCATTTGATTTTAAAAGCAAATTACAGTGGCAGTAACTTTAGGTACCATGTTCAACTTTACTTCCAAGCCTGTCTTGTGAGTCTCGCGCGCACTTTTGGGCATCGTGCAATTTGATTTCAGCTGCCCGGATAAAAGAGATATTAACACCACCTTGAATAGAGTGTTTGTGTAGGTTCGAAGCATTTTAATCTGCATGCAAATAAACCACTGGTTTCTCAAAAGACTGTTAAACAAGTAAACGAGATGCGATAAATATTGAATTATTCATTATTACCCGGTAAACAGTTACTCGCCACTTCATTACCAACTCAAATACGAGACGTTGAATAAGTGCTACGCAAAATATCATGATTTATGGACTGGCGCTTATTAACCGATCAAGCCTTTAAGAACTGTTTTCACGGAAAGAATCCAGCGATTCAAGCTGGAATGTTAATTTCTGTGTCCAACAAAGGGTAACCAGACCGTGGTGAGAGCTAATTTACTTCTTTCATGAAAGCGTTAATCCCTCTGACAATGGCTCTTGCAGATGTCCTTATCTGTTAAACAAATACTTAGGCTCAAGTGCCAAACGCGCGGTTGAGTTTGTGTGTCTTGCATGCAAGTTTTCCTATGGTCGTGAAGCCTTGCCAAATATTCTTACGCAAGCTGACATTGACAAAGCACGAAAAAAAAATTCATATTTTCATCTTACAAGAGGTGGTCTCAGTTCGGAAGTCGGTCTAGGTTTTTGCACAGAAAAAATTTTTTGTCGGTCTTAGTGCACTCGTTACCAAACTTCAAGAGAATGAGGGATGAAATTCCTGTATCAAAGAGCAGTGGTAGAAGCATACCGTACAAAGACTGGGCAACTACAGGTTGGAGAAGCCGTTTTCTAAGTACTTCCTTATTTTTTCGGCTCTTTTAGTCACAGTTAATCATACATTTACGCGAATGTAAAATTTCTACTAATTTGTTCTTTATTCTTTACAATGATCCTTGTTTGAATATTTCTGGCAGTGAAGGATGCCAAAGCGCGTCAAATTTCTGTTAGTTTACCGCCAAATTTGAAGAACTACTTCGAGAATGCTTTGAAGAAACCTACGATGGCTAACATCTTCGGGTAAGTCTTTTTTCACGATAAAAGCCAACATCTTCTTCCAGTTCTTCCCGTGAAATCTTAAACAATAGTGCTGTACGTCCCTCATAGCAACAAAGCTTGTGTTGTACTTAGGTTCTGTCCACTGCTAAGACAGGCATCTGGTCAGAATTTTCGGTTACAATGAGTATTTAAAGGAATCTTTGACGTTCTTCGCCACAAAAAATAAGACTTTCCGTTCTCTATCAGTTTTCTTTTTATGTCGATATTATATTTATCCTTAATTTCCAGTTTTCAACAAGAGGTACCCCAACGAAGTTTTAGGTCATGGTATAGAAAGACGCGATAGCACGGAAAAGAAAAGCTGGCGTTGCAAAGTAGAAAAGGAAGGAAAATACCTCTTAGAGGCAAAAGTGATTAATTTCCATCATTATTTCAAGTAAAAAAAACCAAAAAACTGTGAAGTAGAATGGTCATAGGAAAAGGATTTTAAATTGGGATAAAAAATCGAGCGCTGAAAGATCCATTGTTTTTCGTTTTTCTTGGAAACAGCTCATGATTCTGAAAATCAAACTCAAACGGAATATTTCGATGGAGACGTAAAGAATTCTCTGATACTCCCTTTCCCTTCAAAGTTTCGTAAAAGCTTACATAATACATCAATCTTACATTAATTATGTTTTCTACCTGAACAGCGGAGATCCCGCTGAAGCCCATGCGCGCCGGAAGTCTCAGAACGCCGGAATGGAAAGGAGGACTATTTTAAGTCACGTGAACAGAAACAAACCTCATCCAAGGATATTCTTTCCGTTTCAAACTGGTGATAGGGTAAGAAACAAACAAATAATTAAAGATAAATATTTTTATACTTTGATTTAATAAGCGACCATGGCAACCGAACTGTAAAGCCCTAAGAAGAGAGTAGGGGTGGGGTAGTTAAGGAAACATTCTGTTATTAATTTGGTCCTATTGGGTAGGTTCCGCTAAACAGGGTATGCCAGATACCAAGGGTCTTTCATCTTATGCAGGGTGTAAAAATGTTTCTAGTTAGGGTCTTGAACTGGGTGTCTTTCTGTGGAACGGTAGCATTGTGTGTGAACAAGAGCTCATTGTTCATGGTGTAAACCGACGTGTGCTTAAAGGGAGTCTGAATGTATGTAAGCGTCATGGTTGTTCTTGTTTCCCTTCAGCTTCAAACATACATGGTTTGGATACCAGAAGACCAAACTTCCAGTTGTTCTCTCCCACCCGTCCCTCAGAGACGTATTGACCGCACCCCTCCCTCAAGAAAATGCAATTCAAGAATGAACGGAAACTTTGGTCAATTCATCGGACTCAACCAGACCACTTATCAAGAAGAAATTTCACAGACACCTTTTCGGCATAGACCTGGTAAGGAATTGTTTTCAAAACGATCAGTCTTTGTTTCCAAATTAATATAAGACATAAGATCATAAAGAATTTGCTCAAAATAAGCCACATCATTAAAATGACGTTTACCGTTCTATGCCTAAATTGACTTTGTCTTTCTTTTTTGTAGTCAATATGGTGGATCACTTCCCCTCAAGCAACAGTAACAAAACCACTTTACATCGTTTGAAAGTCTGGTAATATCGTTAATCCGACAGATCAGAGGTCGCCTGGGTATGAAAGTTACGAAGACAACAATGAGACAGAGGAACTTTTAAAACACTGCTGGGGATCGATATCGGTTCAGCAAAATGGCGAACTTTCGACTTATTTTTTTCTGTGTGCTTGGAATACTTTTTTCTGCGGTTATTTGTAACAATACGAAATTTGTAATTTTCTTTGAGTGATTTTCAGTTGATTGCCGTGAAACCAAAACTAGTGCTAAAATAAAAAAGAGAAACAGCCAATCAGGGCACAGAAAAATACCACAAGGAGCCAATGAGAACTCAATGTAAAAGCAAGCAAACTGTCTAAAGCTAGGTAGACCGCGATTGACCAAGTCGGATTGGTTTTAGAGGATGGCGCGAGTCTCCTGGACCAATAACAGAGCTAAGAAAAAGAAAAAAAAAACAATATAATTCCGGATTACTTTCTATATTCAATTGTTAAGTGCTTTACCGAAACTTCCAAAATGGAAAACGGAAAACTGACCCCCTAAAGTGCATGGAACATCTTTTCAGGGGGTATTTGTGCGTCTCTCCCGAAGTTTACTGTGAATAGATGTGTTCTCCAAATGGAAGAAATGCAAAAAATTGCATGGGACCAAAGTTTATGTTCCTTCAATGGAGTTGTATATTAGATTTAGCAGTCTCATTGAAATAGACCGTTCACTGTATGGCACATGCGTTATGCCTTCAGTCCGCAAAGTTTTAATGGCAGGACTATTTAAAACAATTGGAACAGAAAAAAAAAACATAAAAAGATTAAATATTTCTAAAAGTAATTGTAAGTGCCAAATCGGTTACCCTCTCAGAGTAAAACCTAGAGTTTTTCAAGTAGGTATTTTAAAAAGAAATCCGCAGCAGGTAACCAATTTATCAGAACCCTCTCACTGTATTAACCGAAGAATCATAGGCAGCATGAAAACTTCAGTTTAAATTACCCGAACAAGATTAATCGGAACCCATCAAACTTTTGTAATAGATAATTTCCTAGATTTACAGATATCTGTCTGAAGTGGGAGGGGATCGACTTAGTAATTCTGAACTATACGAAATCCGACGGTATCGTCCGGAACAATATGGAACCATCTAAAACTGGACATGAACGTCCGAAATCGGACGGGACCGTCGAAAATTAGATAGAATCCTTCGAAAGGGCTTAACGTTCCGAAATCAGACAGTGGATCGTCCGAAATCGATCGGAATCGTACATAATTGTAGTAAGTCGGACGTAGCTGCGCAAATTTGGACGTAACTGTGTGTTTTAGGATGGACTTTAGTTAGACTGGACGCAGGAATTTGAGCGAAAGAGACTATCTTTAAATTTCAGGTGTACACAAACACTCTAACAAATACATATCAATCGGTAAACTTTTATTACCCTTTAAATTTTCTTTACTAATATCTTTCAAATATACACTTGTACATTCAGTTAAATTCCACTAACATTCTATCTCAAATGCTGCCATCTGATCGAATAAGCTGCACGCTATCTATTTCGCGACAGTTACAAAGCGTGAGATTGTAAATAAAGTAAAATGAAATCCCAAGCCTGTCTTTTCTCTGAGTTTTGAACGAATAGTAGCTTTAGAGCTCTTTTTGATTGAGTGTCATAAAACCGAAATCGAGGTAATTACATCGGCCAATCAGAAGAAGGGAACATTTTCTGGAGAGCCAATGAGAACTCAAGGTAAAAACAAGCAAACCGCCCAAAGCGCGGGAAACACGGCCGACCAACTCGTGATTGGTGTTAGTTTGGCATTTGATTGGTTGAAAGAGTGGCGCGAGTTTTCTGGACCAATCACATTGTGAAATAAAGTAAAACCAATGCAATTCCGGGTTACTTTCGACACTCAATCGAAAATTGCTTTACTCTTAAACAATTAGATTATTTGCTCTCGTTTTTTATTCGTAATAGTTAATTCGAGCATAACTCCATCGATTGCGACACAAATATCGTGCTCCTAATAGAACTGTTAACAATATTTCTAATTCAATCAATCAAAATTAAATCGTCTGATTCATCTTTGTTACATCGAAATATGTACCAGCAATCGAAACTAACATATAAGAACGCCTTGAGCATGGAAACGTGACTTGACGTGACTTGGGAGTTTGTGACAAGCCCAACGTCTTCGTTGCCATGGCATTGAAAAAACCTACGTTTTGATTGACAACCCAGTAAACAGGCTGAAATTAGAACAAATTACCGCATGGAAAAAAAATTTTCCACTCAACCGAAAAAAAAAAAATGCACCTAAACCTCGTTTCCCGAAACTCCTGGTAACCTAACGAGCCCGAAGCCTTATTTTAAAACCAGAGTTTAAAGAATCGAGGAGTGGGTTCTAGAACCCTAACCAGCTAGTTTCTGTTTTGAATCCCGTATCTTAAACCAAACGAACCCGTTAGGTTATTTGGGGACTTCGAGAAACGAGCTCCAGGCCCAAATAGCAAGATAAAAAAGGAAAATTTCACTTCATTACCCCTAAAAATATGGAAAAAAATATAAAATTATACTTAAATATCATATACCTTTAACTGTGCTTCTCTCGCTGGTTGTCTCAATTCTAGGACAACATTTTCTCGCTTGCATCAAACAACAGCTCCCTGGTTGAAACTTTGTACGGGTGCTAAATTGAAGTGTGTTGTTTAGGTATTCCCAAATCATTCCCCGCCAGATTTTTTTTCATACGACAATAAGTGGTTTCATTTTTCAGCTGCTATTTCAAGAGGGTTCTGTCCAAAACACAGTCGTTCAAAAATTGTGGAAAAAATATATTAAGAGAGTAGAAAAAAAGCACGATGCAATCTAACTGTAATTATAAGTGGGTCATCATTCATTAATCTTGCTCTTCACTAATAATGTCTTTCCCGTGGATCGTTTTGTAATGTTTTCTCAATGAACTCGGATCTGTGTACCTTTTGTAACAGTTGGCCACTTTGCAGTGGTAAGGTTTGGTCTCTGAGTGGGTCCGTGTGTGTTTGTACCTATCACTTGAATTGGAGTACCGCTTATTACAACCCGCCACGGGACAAACGTACGGTTTTTCTCCCGTATGAGACCTGGTGTGTATTTTTAAATTCTCGAGCCGTGAGAAGCTCTTTCCGCAAGAGTCATGATTACAACGGTGGGGCCTTTCTCCGGTATGTGTTCTCATATGTATCAACATTTTGTACCGGGCATTGAAGCCCTTTCCGTTGCGCGCGCAGCCCTGCCAAAGGCAGCTATATTCACTTGCTTCAGTTCTAATGTGGTATTCATTGACATGCGCAACCAAATCCTCTAGAGACAAGAAATGTTCGCAGCAGTTGTCCCATTTGCACTGGTGAAGTTCCGGTAAGGTCGGCGACAGAGGTGATGTAATGCCATGAGGCAAGACGGATACAATTTGACCCTGTGGACTAACTTGGTCCTGTTCAAAGATCTGCCGCAGATAGGTCAAGCTAGATGGGTGTGCTGTGACTACAACATCTGTTGCTGAGGAGGAGCTGAGTGATTCTGAAGCACTGGTGCTCTGCAGTGCTTCTGATGTTGTAAACTAAATAAAGAAAAGAACAAAAACTTAGAAAATGAGAAAAAGAAATATGAACGAAGGGAACAGTCATCATTGATGGTCTGGGGAGGGGGGGAGGGAAAAAAATCAGAGGATTTTTGGGGGATCACATGGTTTTCAGGGGTAATAGAGGGGGGGGGGGTCAGTCGTACAAAGCAGGGGGCCCCGTATAAAAAATTGACTGCTAATTAACTGCAATGAGGTGGTGGTGGTGGTGGATGTGGTGGTGGTGGTGGTAGTGGGGAGGGGGCGAGGGGAATTCTCGAGAATATTATAGAGCCTTATGGGTAGATCAAGTAAATATGAAATTGTGACACAACCAAAATCATCTGATTCTTTTCTCTGGTCAGGTCCCTTAGTATAAAAATACTGTCTGTGATTGCCTTGCCTTTGTTCAGTCTGACCTCCAATTGAATCCTTGTAATATTTTTCCATTGCTTCTGAGTGATTATTATGTTGGGTTACAACAATTAAAAAAAAACCCTCTGAATTCGTACCCACTGCATTAACCATAAAAAGTTACATTCAGCAAATCAAATCCTAAGTGAATGTAGTGTAAAGTGCACTACTGCACTTTGCAATCTCATGAGTCAATTAGCAAAGTTTTCAGAGGAATTTACCACAGTGAGATACTTGTAGTCATCAAACACAAAGTTTGTGTTCAATATTAGTTCTCTGATAAGATAAAGTTGTTATTGGGCCATAACAGAGTGCTAAGAATGCAACTAGCCACTCTTTCCTAGTCATGACTGTTGTGCAAGTGGAAAGAAATCATGTAAAAAAAAAATTAATTTTTGTCTTATCTCTTTAAACTTCAGCATCCAATCAATCATATTTATTTAATATTTTCACTTGTTTACTTTATTCGATTAATCTGAAGTATTTACTTGCTGTGACTGCAAACTTTGGTGATGTTTTTGTAGTTTTCCTCAATAAGTTTTAAAATTCTAGAGGATGACAATTCAAACAAATAAGGTATTCAGTTCCTTTGGTGATTGAAAACAACTGGCTTCTAAGTTCTAAATAATGGTGAGCTCCTAAGTGTTTCAGGTCTCAAATTTAATCCTTGAACTACCATGAGTGACCATGACAGAATTTCCCCTACCAATATCAGTACAGAGAAAGATGTTTTTTGTCTTTGTCACAAGCATGCGACAAAGAAAAAAATTCCCCATGAGGAATTAAACCTCAGCCTCATATATAATGCACAAGGCTATCAACATAGCCAATCCAAGCAGTATGCAGGACTCTTGTCATATATGAAATTTGTAATGGGCCTTGCCCACCATAGAGTCTCTGTGGCTCAGTGGTAGAGCATCAGAGCAAGGAATCCAAAGGCCTGATGTTCAATTCCTCATGGAATCCTAAACCTAAACCTAAGCCCTAACCCTAAGCAAAAACATCTTTCTCTATTTCTTAACCAAACTCAAAACTTACTATCTTTCTTATTCTATTTAATATCAGTACAATATCCAGCAGACAAGTGATGAGAATAAAGAAAAATATAAATTACAGAATTATCATTTGATCCAATACTGACTTCTACAAACTAGGATCATAAGAATAAAGGGGGGAATTTTTTATTTGCTGTGTTGGTTTGGGGCTCACAAACAAGATAATTTGGTTTTAACAACATAGTTGATAACATAAATTTCCAAAGCCAACTTTCTAAGAATTGTAGGGCAGATGGTGATAAGAATTACTGATGAGATCTGGGGAGTGAAAGGGTTAAATGAACTAAATTCTCTTCCATACTCATAATCATGTTCTGGTTACCTACAAAAACTATCTAAGGAAGCAAATATATTAAAGACAACTATCATTATAGGTATTTAAATTCACATTCACAAATTGGATATGATTCCTTTTGACCTTTAAAAGGACTTACCACAACACAAGGTTCCAGGACCTCTCTGTCATCCCTTTTTACCATTAACAGTTCCTCCTGAGCCTCCCCTCTCTCTTGTAGTTCACCAGCAAGGAGCTCTGAAGTTCCTTGCACATGAGTCAGCACACATGGCAACACAGACGACGTCAACACAACAGGCTGTTGTAGTAGCCCTACAGTTGAGTTTATGACTGAAGAGTCTGAAAGCAAATCTGCTGAAACTGGCGTATCTGAGAGGCAGGGAGAACTTTCCAAGTCACTAGAAGAAGCAATTGCTTCTGTTTCATTGAGAACTGATGACCCATGCAGAACAGAATCCTCTGCTGAAAGATCTGTCATGACTGACGTTACATCCCCCTGATCTAGCATTTCTGAGACAGTAGATACCACAGTTAAGTCACTGGTGCATTTGTCTAGCTGCAAGTTGCCATGAACTTCCTTTTGTGCATCCTCTTTTAGATGTAATTTTGAACTTTCCTGATCATTTTCCTCTGACATCTATTACTCAAGGGAGAAAGAATGTTATATTTAATGAGTAGTTATTAGGATTTTCAGTGCAAGTCTTAGATGCAGTTATGAAAGCTGAGAAGTGAATAACCCCTTGCACAAATGATTTAGCTTAGAATTATTTCATCTCCAAATGAAATCAAACTGGTTTGGTCTGTGATTTTCAATGTTTCAGGATTATGATGATGTAACTGGGATATAGTACAATACTGATCAAACTGGTCTAAAACCATTTTGATTTGAAATCCATTGAAATTTAACATCTATTCAGTACTAGAGATTTCAACCCTTGCAGAGAGACCTACTCTTTTCTTTCATTTCTGGCCTCAAATTTTCATACAACATTCTCCTCGTTGAAACCTTCCTCTAGAAAAGGAGTAAAAGTGTTTTCCTTCTTTCAACAGTCTTTTTAATGTGATTCTCTATCATCTTTCTGTGCCACCTTACGATTTTTAACTTTTGCACAAAGGAGCATACTGGAATAAGTCTGTGCTTTGGTCTATGCTATGGATTACCTCCACTTCATACAAGGGTGAACTCAAAATACAGGAAATGAAATCTTGGAGGCCTTTGTTGACAAAATTTTCATCGGAAATGCCAGATGACACTTCTATGTTTTCCTCCCTTTAGTCCTTAAGGCTGCAGCTTTGCGAAACTAAAAACCTGCCTTTTTATTTTCCTAAAGTTAAAATCTCTGTCACTCACTCACTCACTGGAGTGTCAGTTACTAAGGCTAACCACCAGGTGAATGTCAAATAACTTTAAGGCCAAAGGATTCCAAAGAAGACATTTGACATAAGGAGCTGCATTATCATTTACATGGATACATTCTTTAAATTATACCCTAAATTTCACCAGAAAATTTGACCACGGAAATTTTTGGCTATCTGAGGGGCTCTTTAGGAAAATCAATTTGTAAAGATAAGTACAGTACTGCAGCTAAATGAGATCTATGATTGGAAAAGACATTGGTTTTCAACAAGATGAGCAAGATGCAGACCATGATTTTGTGTGTCAAGTCTGTGTGCTGTTTAAAAGCCATAATGGATAGTGATTGAGAAGAAATTGTCTCATCTGATGAAGCAGAGCTGAAAAGAAGTATGTATTAGCATCAGAGACGCAGTTCTGGCTTAAAATCTCAAAACAACACGAAATCAGACGTTCTGTCGATACTTACAGTAGGCATCTCATTAAGATCAAATCGCTACAGTATAAATTCAACAAAACATAACACTGCAAAACTTTTAAAGTAATTGTATGAGACGCAATTAAATTTAACTTCACGGATATTTCGAACAAATTTTGAAGTTCGTGATTATGTTTACAACACACAATCCTAACCATTTCACAGTTATTGGCCTTGCGGTGATAATAAAGGTCTGAAAGTTCTTCGCTCTGTCTTTCTCTCCAACGGACTCGACTTAAGCGATTGAAATGTTTAAGATTACTTGTTACTAACGTTAGAAGTATTGTACAAAACGGTCCGTGGAGAATTTGTTATCGAATCAAACATACGAAATTCATCTAATGAAATGTATCACATGATGCTGTGGATGTGTACCACTTGATCACGCACGACAAGATGTTCAAAAAAGGGGTAACTTTGAACCCTACTGTAAACATAATACTTAAGATAGTCTTTAGCGAGAAAAAAGACTTACTTCTTGAGGATTTCTTCCGGTAGATACTTGAAGTATGGTCCTTCGCTTGAATAATCGAAGTCGAAGAACTCATCATTGTGAAGTCTGTGGCTTGGCAACCGCGCCTCGATAAAATCACGTGCGGGCTTCCCACGCAACTGTTTTGGATGTCCTCGCAATGCGTGTTTGTTCAATCGCGTTACGATGTTGAGCGGAAGCAAGTAATACCCTGAAAAAAGAGACGCCTAAGAAGAGGTAGCATACAAGAATATGACTTTATTGTTTCTGCTTCATGCCATTAACTCGAGGATCCACCCCTACTCTCCACAATCAAGAGCGTAGTAATCTGGCAAAATGATACAGGGGGTTTTCTTCTTTCTTATTTCATTTTTTTATTTCTTCCACAAAATATTGATCTTAGGAAAAGAACGAATTGTTCCAACCGGCAACCTCCACTTCCCTCTTTCCTCAATTTATACTGCATCATTATTTATGTACTAACTTAAGATTGGAATAGGCAAGAAATTATGTAGATGCAATTGAGATCTCTAGTTTTGCATTACGAGTTCAGCTGTCTTGTAATGAAACTTGTAAATATGAAATGTTTCATCTTCGAAATAACAGGATTTGGCTGTTTTGCTGAAGCAAAGAACGAAAAACAGCTAATTATATCCCTCATCCCCAGCTGATGATGCCCTTTGGAAACCAATGAAATTTTGAGGGAAAGTTGTTTTTCGGTCCCGGCTGAATGATTATGTATACTTGTAGATATTGTATTTTGAAGTTAGCCCTGATTGGTCAGGGAGTGTTGCGCATTGTTTCAAAGACTTAACAAGAAATTCTTTTCAATTTCAGAGTCTGTGTGGATTTGATACTTACATTATTCGTATGAGGTACTTCTGAAAAATTGGAAATAAAGTGACAGTAAGTCTGTTGTAGGAAAATACTTATTTTTATCAGAACCTTGGTTTGTTAGCTTGTAAATTAAAACTTTTGAAAATGTAATTATGATCAAACAATATCTTCTTAATAGCTTATCAAATGGCATTCCTCTGCTGTGCCGCATTCAAATTTTCTGCTTTAGGTCTCGGTCACCTGATCACTAAAGCCAGCTGTTTCCCGCCGATTTGGTGGTCTTCTAAGACTCATACTCGTTCGCTTGTTTGGCTTGAATTGCAGAAAAGCTTCACGCTTTTCTCAATCCTCGGCTTCAGCTTAAGAGACTAGGTCGTCATCTAAATTGCGTGCTTTTGAGAGGTCAATGCGATGTCATTTTATGCGCGAACGACAGAGAAACGTAAATCTTACGAGGTGGACGAGCTATACGAGGATGACGATAACAGGTAAAAATATTGGAAATTCAGCTGGTGTATTTCATGATCTGTGTGTTTTATTTTCACATCAAATAGCTCATGCCATTTCATTTTGCACCTTCGTTGTCTTAATTTGTTGCAGATTTAAAGTTGAAGTGGTTGATAATCGTGAGCGGGAGCGAAAACTGCGGCGGGAAATTGCAAACTCAAACGAAAGACGACGTATGCAAAGCATTAACTCCGGTTTCCAAGCACTGAGATTGCTGATTCCACACAGCGAAGGCGAAAAACTAAGCAAGGTATTTCCTGTTACATTTATGTTGCATTCATTTTAGTGATTGAGTTAAGCTGGTTTGAAATCCCTGCAAGAAGTGAAGTCCTCGCACTGACCTCTAATACTCACTGATTTTACGAACAGGCCGCGATACTTCAACAAACAGCTGAGCATATTTTTGCTTTGGAGCAAGACAAGACCCGTCTTTTGCAACAGAACACGACTCTAAAGCGAATATTGAGCCAGTGCGATCGAGAGGGAACGAACAGCTCGGATCTGAAGAGATCTCCGCCGAAAAAGTCTAAAATTGATCAAGAAGCACGTGCACAGGAACATAGCAAGGACGATGAAAACAACAACGTTTTACAAAGTGATGATTACGTCGAGGAAATACAAAAGGAGCTCATTGAACTAAGGTGCCAACTAGAACGTGAAAGGAGACTACGGATCAGCGTGGAGGAGAAGAAGAGACAGCTCGAATTAGATCTAGCGGACGCTAGGTCGAAGTCAAACGACAAATCGCCAAAATCACTGACGACTTCTCGTCAAAATTTGGATACGATCGTTCAGGCAATCAAACATTTAGAAGGGGACAAACCTGAACTTCTCGAAACCCCTACAAAGTGTAAAACTGAAGCTGTCACGAACGGCCCTTCTAGTGCGGAAAACGCTTCGAGAAGGCTCATAGTTTGAAATCTTGTTTGAAAGTTTACTCGGATGTTGAACAGCCCGGGAACAGCTGATTGGCGTGGCTGTAGTTGATGTATGCAAATTTCCCATGTTTGCGAAACCCATGGAATTCATGCATGATAATTTGTTTACATAGAGATTTGTAGAACACGTATAAATTACGTTTCTTTTCTTTACCCGTTCTCATCCGCTTCGTAAGTGGCGTTGTGAAGTTTTTCATTAGATTCGATCGGGAACTCAGAGCGTGCCGGATTCACGAGTTTTCCGGAAATCTAAAATTTTACAGCATGCCGATTTCAATGCGATGTTGATCATCTTTTGCAAGGTTGGTAGGTGACGTCTTCATGTGAATATGTATATAATTTTTAGAATCCAGTCAACACATGTAGGTTTCCTGTGGGGTTAACTTTGCATTGGTTAGGGGGGCTGAGTGGGGAGGGGGTTTCCTTTAGCATTGCCTTACGTTAAAACTAGACAGTGAATCGAGTATTTCTCAGAACTGTGCTTGCAAGGTGTTTTGCCTCGAAGTTTGAAGACATTTCAGAACTGAAAAACTTATTGAAGAATCATCAAACTAAAATTGCATGTCTACTGCCTCAAAAATAAAAAGGCTAGGAAAGAAAAAAAAATAATGACAAAACCACTTGGTGGTGGAAGATTGAAATTGTCGAAAAAGATCTTTTTGTTATTTGTTGTTTTGATGATGAGGAAAAAATAAGAGATTCAACCATTGGCCTCTCAATTTAAAATCATGATCAATAACAGAGACAAACCTTTAACTGAAGAGTGCAACAGTAAGACTGATATACTGCTAATTCTTGCTAGGTAACAGTGTATCAGTCAAACCTCACAATCTTCAATCAATAGTACAGCTGTGCAATTTATAAATCTAAATCAGGAGACAAATGAATCCATGTTGATTTATTATTGAGGATTGATGTTGGCCAAACACTTTGCTAGCCTGATATTGTTGTTTTGCTTTTATATCACAAAATAGCAATTGTAGGTACCATTTCTCTGAGATAGCCTTTTTGAATAGTGTCCTTTTTCCCCCTTTTTTCACATTTTAGGCCCACCAGAACTAATTTATTTTATTATTATTATTTTATTTTACTGCTGGCAGTTTCATTTTACAGAATTGGGCAATAATATAATTAACAGAAATTATTATGTATACAGCTTTTTAGAAAATTCTTTTTCTATGAAAACATGGCCTCTGGTGCAGTATTTATATGTTTGATGGAAGAAGCACTTTGATCCAATGTGTATATTGCATAAGAATTTTTAAGTTTTCCCTTTGGAAGGATGTTTTGAAGCCATGAAAATGTTTTATTTTCACATATCAATCAAGAACAGATTCAAAAGTAGTTAGTCAAACTTTTAGGGCTCGTAAAACACCACATGGTGACTGATTTCCTGCAGTTGAGAAAATAACCTTTTACACTCTAACATCAATATTGATATTTTCTATACTCTTCACAATACATTTACTTTGGTATTGACAAGGAGAATTTATCCAACACCTTCACTACCAGATCTCATCAATAATTCTCCTCACTTTCTGCCATACAACTCTTATAATGTTAGTTTGGAGAATTAAATATTTGATATATTAATAATCCCCTGTTGATATATTTCTTTATTCTCATCACTCGTCTGATTTATATTTTATTGATATTGTAAAAAGTTGTAAAGAGAAATTCTGACTTGGTCACTCACGGGAGTTAAAGGGTTAACAATCAAAGCTTCTTTGGTTAGTGGTCATTACACTTATTGTCATTATCTTGATGAACGATTTAACAGTATTACTGAAAAAAGAAATTAGATACTGGTTTCTCTTAGGGTTTAAAAGGTTAAATGCTTGTTGCATAGGCAGAAAAATTGCAGCTATTACAATACTCTACTTCCCATATGCTTTGAAAAGTCAGAAGGGATTCCTGATTTGATATGTGTTGATGATTTCTTAAAACTTTATATATTACAGTATGATATGTACATCTTGCAATTATTTTGTAAACAGCTGAATATTTATATGATCTAACAATTAAGTATTTCTGCCTGTTAGCCAGTGTGTGAAATGGAATACATCTGGATGATAAACACTGATATGTTTTTGTAATTGAAGAAAAATTCCTTACAAAATCTTCTTGCAATTAACTTTTATATGGTGTTTTTCACCTGTAATCATTCATAGTTATTGTAATTACTGAGCATCTGAAGGGTGTTGAGAGAAGCATTTCTAATATTTATATGTCACATGCCCTTAAAAAAA